TGTTAGAACACAGGACCAAACATTTGGGAACTAAGAGGGAAAAGAAAAGCCAAAAGCAACAGACCCAAACCTATAAGGCTATCTCAAAATCAAAGTTATCAGACATAAATATTAAAACAACTAATTAAAATGTTCAATAAAAAGATGACAAAATGGAGAATTTCATCAGAGAAGTGATCTATGAAAAAATATCAAATGGAAAATCTAAAGGTAAAATATGTAATAATAATTAAGAACTCAATAGATTAGACAGCAGAAAAGATGGTTAGTAAATCAGAAGCTAGGTCAGTAGAAAATGTCTACACTGAACCACATGGTGGGATGTGGAAGGAAAATGTAGAAAAGGGTGAAGATATGCAGTGCAGTGAGACCTCATGTACATATAATTAGAATCCCAGAACTGTAAGAAAAAAGTTTGGCAAAAGTAGTATTTAAAGTGATACAGGGCTGAAGATGTAGCTCTGTAGAAGAGTGCTTGGCTAGCATGTGTGAGGCTCTTAAGTTTGATCCCCAGCACCAACAAAAACAAACAAATAAAACCCATTAATTGAAGCAACATAGGTCAAGAAATTCCTGTAGCTTAAGAATTTTATTAGACAACACACTCAACTAAGTATCCGACAGGAAAAATGCAAAGAGAACAACACTGATGCACATTAAAGGATCACAGAATAACTACTAAAATACAAAGATATAAGAATAACAAAAGTGGCCAGAAAAAAATCTATCATTTCAATGGAGTAATAAGCCCAACAACTGACTTTATGACAGAGCTCAAAAGACAATGAAATATCATTTTTCTAAACTGAAAGTAACTATCAAGCTATAATTTATTGCCAACCTATAAATCCTTCAAAAATTAAGAAGAAATAAAGACATTGTAGGTGTATAAAAACTGGGAGAATTTATTTCAGCAGACTTAAAGTTAAAAAAAATCATAGGGGAAGCTTAGAATTTTATGACAGCATGAAGGACTAGGAAAAGCACCAATATGTAGAGAAGTCAAAATGAATACAAAACATGTGTAACATGCGTATTGTACATATAATGTGTAAGCAACAACAAGTATATCTTCTTATCATGTCATTTAGTTCTGTATCTATTTTATACCCCACAATACCAAAAACGGATCATGGTATTCTGAGGCTCTGGCATTCATTATATGGGACAAAGGTCACAGACTAACTTACAATACATTTCTCCAAAAAAAATTCATGGAAAATATTTTTCCTTTCTGGGAAAACTATTTCTTTTTTAAAAATGTAGGAGAAAAAAAGTCATCAGAAGAGATAGACTGAAATTTTAATTAAAAATCCCAACACAGGCAGGAAAAGGGAAGAAATGGAAATGAAGAACAGAGGGTCTAATAGAAAATAAATAGGAAGGGGACAGAATTGATGCTAGTCACACTAAATAAAAATGGATTCAACATTTCAATTAAAAATGATTATTAGAATAGGGTTTTTTTTAACTAAAATATCTGCTATTTACAAAGAACACAAGACATAAGAGCAAATATTGAAAGTAAAAAGATAGAAAAAGACATACCAAGAAAACACTAACCAAAAGAAAGCTGATATAAGTAAACTAGGTGGCACAAACAATGTATACATATGTAAGTAAATGCAAAAATGATAACATAAAAGGAGAAAAAAAAAACACTTTCAGGTAGGAATCTTTACTATAGATAGGTACTTTATAATGATACAAGTGTCGATCTACCAAGAAGATATAACAGTTCTAAGTTTGAATATGCCTGTTACATAGTGTCAAATCCTCAACATCTAAATCAATGACATGACTAGAATTCACTTCCATGTATACTGAGTGACTACTGAACATTCATTTTGTTTCAGATCCGGGGAATATTTTGGATTTTATAAATTATAAAATACTTTTTCCCAGTTTAGTTGTAATTCCCTAGAATTTAGCTTTACCTCAAGTTTAAGTAGTTAGAAACACTGATAATAAACATTCTATTTTATATATTCAAGTTTGTCTAATAAAATTATCTTTCTTATATTGGCCAACATTGTGGTAAAGCTCTCCCTTCCAAATTCGTAACTTCATTAACATATAAGAATTTCTTCATTCACTCAAAATTTATCATAAATAATTTTAAAGAATACTGATTCCTCAAAAGGATACAAAATGATCTTGGAAATGTCACAACACAGACTCTTCCAAAGTTTCCATTTCATTATCTCTAACATGGTGGGAAATTATAAAAGCATACTATTAGACATAAGGATCTCTGCTAGACCCCCTAGAATTACTTATAATTTACTGCTTATTCCCAAGTAGTTTTATTACAGCCAGTGTGATCAAGTTATTTGATTTTCATTTATTGATTACTACGTTATGACCATAAAAAAAAAAAAAACCCACATTGCTTTGACAATGAATTGCTCTAAGAAAAATCTGGTTTGAGTTTTCAAAATTCAACTTGTATTCACTTTTTATATATTTTCTTCTTACTATTTTAGCCTCTTAATAAACTTTTACTATGCTGCTAGTCTTTTTTCCAAGATTCAGTATGCATGTAAAAAAACCATACATATCTAGTCAGGTATATTAAAAAAAATACTATAATTAGTTTCTCCATTAAAAAAAAGTATTTCTTCCTCTAACTGGCATGAATTTCTCCAGTTTTTATCTTTCATTTAAAGAAAGAAATCAGTTTGTAATTTTAAATGTCTTAATCCTTCAATAACTATTGCCATTTAATTCTTATTTACTAGAATTTCTTTAGTCTGTCATCAGTCTCCCAGTAGCACTGTAAAATGGACTGTAAACTTTTCATAAAAATAAATAGGCCAAGAAAAAATTGTTCTCTCATTCTCAGAGTTCTCACTAGAACCAAATGTACCGTAAAGGGAACGTTTATTATCTACTAGGTATTTTTAATATCTTAATTTTATTATTATTATTATCTTTCAGAGGAAGAAATTACATATCAGAGAAGCTGAACAATCCATTGAAATCTATACCTTTAATAAGAAAAGTCAGACTTTGATCCAAGGCTGTGTCTATTTACAAAGCCAAGATCTTTCCACTATTAGGGGTTGGCAAATTTAATACAAAGAGCCAAATAGTCAATGTTTCAGGTGTTGCTGGCCATACAGTCTCAGTCAAAGCTACTCACCTCTGTTATAGCACAAGAGCAGCCATGGGTAATATGTAAGCAAATGAGATAGTTGTTTTCCAATTAAACTTTATTAACAAAAACACTTAAATGGAGGGTCAACACAAAGCCCACAGTTTGTAGATCCCTGCACTGCACAACACCTTGTCACTTTTTTAGCTTTTCATTAATACCTACATTTTCTTTTCTTCTCCACTTTTTAGAAAATTATGACCTTTATCCTACTGATCAATTTATTTATTTATTTATCTTTTAGAAAGACATAGCGTTTTTGCTAGTTGAGATAAGGATAGCTATACAGAAAGATTCCTAGCATTGCTTCCATGCACATGTGTATTGCAACCCAAATATGACCAATTTTATTTAAATGCCTCCTTTCTTAGGCATAATAGAAATATTTTACTTGAAGGACTCCAACTAGAACATCAAATATGCCTAAATTAATCTATAAATAAATGAAACATTTCTAGAACTACGATACTACCAGGCACTATATTCTATACTCTTGATGGGAAAATGTCAAACACCTATATTTAAAATGCTTTGTTTTGAACTTCTTTCAATTAGTATCTAATTTTAGTTGCTCAAACTATATTAAATAAATGGAATCACAAGTCACCACTAACACATACAAATAATCATATATACTAAAATGATGCAAACACATAGAACTTAAGATTTTCTCTCACTCCCTATTCCAAAATTCGACTGTATGTCTCACCACAAAATTTTTATGCAAAGATTTAAACAATAAAAATTTATATATAAATAGGAAAGAAAAATTTCCCCTCTCTGGTTTTTATTCTTTCTTCCCCCTCTTCCTTCCTACCTTCCTGTACACTTGCATTCTCTCTCTCCCTCTCTTTCTCTCTCTCTCTCTCACACACACACACAGTATTTTTTAAAAACGCAATCCAAGTCCAATTAAAATGGAACTGTAGCAATCAAAAAACACACAAGATCAGGTTCAAATTCCAGCTCTACAGTTAAACCAGTTGAATAATTACTTCCTGCTTTGTGCCTTCAGTATCTTTTAGTTTCTGTTTTCTCATGTGAGTGTTGTGAACATTAAAGAACTGAAATGAGATGTCCACAGCAGTGTTCACAAACAGTCAAAAAATGAAAAGTTCCAGTTGCTGCTATCATTACCACCTTCACCATCGCTTAGGCAAGTCCAGACATCCACTGTACTTCCTCCATACAATGCGGAAACCACCGCCTCAAATGGTGTAACTGTACAGATAATTCTAAAATATCCTGAAAATTCATCTCATTACTGTTGTTAAAAGTCAGGGTAGAAGGCCAGGCAGAGTGGTACATGCCTGTAATCCTAGCACTCAGGAGGCTAAGGCAGGAAGATCTTGAGTTCAAGGCCAGCCTGGGCTACATGGACTTGTCCTAAAAAAGATGGGAAGGAGTTTTCTTCTCAAAAAACTTAATATTTCTTTGAAAAGCTTTAAAAAAAAAATTAAACTACTTCTATGTTTTTAATCCTAAAAATACACAAATTTAGCACTTTAACAAAGACATACACTGAAGAATCTTATGTGTTGTTTACTAAAGAAAGCCACTCAGTGCTAATAAATAATTGTAAAGGGAATGTTAGGGAATGTTAGGGCTGGAGGCATCGTTCAACCAGTAGAGTGCCTGCCGAACAGCATGAAGCCCTGAGTTTGAACTCTGGGAATGTAAAAAAAAAAGGATGGGCTAGGGGAAGTGTCAGACTAAGGTCTACTGTCTCAATTCCAATTTGGGGTTTATTTTTATGTTCAATCTTTGCACTTAAAGGAACCACAATGTTAATCATTATATGCTAATAGCTACTCTAACATTAGTGGAGATAAACATATCTTACCAAATTACGCTTTTTTAGTGGAAGAAAATAATAATAGTGGCAGAAAGCAAACATCAGTGCGTAGGAAGTGAGAAGCTCAGTGTAGAAGCACAACTGGAGAAAAAGCCAATGATTATCTTCACCAACACAATTGTTTATCCTGAGGGAAAAATGAAAACAGTATTTTAAATTTTAATATGTTCATTTCAGGATCGCTAAGACTAAAAATAAATGCATATCACTTCATATACCCTTAATTTCATGGAGCTATGCTAAAGTCACTCAAACTGAAAAATAACCTGCATAAAGATATAAACATACCACCCTAAGTTTATAAGACCCTGCTTTACAAAGCAAATCCTCTTATATACTGTCCTCCTTTGATTCCCAACACTCCAGTGAGGTAGAAAGACCAGATGGGAGGTGGTGTCCTTGTGCCGATGATTTGGAAAGAGCAGCAAAAGACTTAAGCCAGGAGCAGAGGACACAGAGTTAGGGGAGCTCGGCCGACGGGGGCAGGCCACTGGGACTTTGCTCCTACAGGGCAGCATCCTAGTCATGGAGAGCAACTAGAAAGCCATCAAGCAAAATAGTTTACACTTGCTGCCTTCACATAACTGCTAAGCACACACAACTGTCCATACTTGAAAAAAAAAGAATCTACCCCTGGTTGCTGAGAATCAAAAAAGTATTCTAAACTATTTACACTCCAGCAAAACAACAGTGATGCCAAAGGGGGAAAAAAAAGATTAATGCTATAATCCCAAAATTCTGAAGACAACAGTATTTTAATGAACTGAACTCACTTACTGTACCCAAATTTTCAAAGTGTCTTAAAATCCTAACAGAAAAATCAAGTCTAAAATTCTGGTAGAAAACTTTACTTCAAAATGAATCTTGCACACCAGGGATGTGTGGCTCAAGTGGTAGAGCTCAAGGGCCTGGGTTCAAACCCCGAACCACCAAAAATATCTTACATGAATACTTTCCCTTAAAAATAGCACTATACTACCACTGGTGAAATATATATATCTATATAACAGGTTCCATTCCGAATTTCAATTGTTGTGTTTAAGGTGTATCTTTTTAATTAAATATAAAACTGAGCTGAAAACCTTATGGAAATATTTCTCAGACTTAAGTCCTATAAGGGAGTACTAGTGGTGGGGGAAGGGTGAATGAAGGAGATTAAGGTGACGTTATATGGTTGATGGACTTCATATACAAAACAGAACAAAGAAACCTCTAGCAATTGCTTTAAGTGGGGCAGAGAGGGGATTGAGGGGGAGAGATGGTGGGAGTGATCAACGTATTAAGATAAGCCTATTTGGAATTCTCCCTATGAATCACCCCTGTACAATGGATATATCCTAAATTATTTTTAAAAAATGCTCCTTAACAGATGTCCCATCCTTCCTGTCCCTATTGGGAAACAATTACTATGATAACAGTACTCTTAACCAGGGAACTTTGAGGACTAACTGTTCAACCTACATGGTATCTTTTTACAACAGTTAAACTATTTTGAAAGAATGATCAGAGCTAAAAATACAGAAAACTTTGAGGCAATCTGAGATTTGACTTCTAAATCAAAAGCCACTAAGAAGTTAAAATACTACGGACTCTAAAAACATCTTTCTCTTTGCTTCTTTGAGATTTTTAAAGATAAGGTTTTGCTTATGTAGTCCAGGCTGGCCTTGAACTTAGATCTTCTGCCTCAGATTTCAGCAGTGTACCACCTCACACAGCTTTGCTTCTAATGTATGCTGTACATTTCCCTCACTCTCTGAATATCTCAGCAGTGCTCTGTTAGGGAATTCGGTCATGAAAATTCCTACATCCATTTAGACCCTGTCTACCCTCCTTTCCAAACTTCTGATCTTTCCTATGTCCATTTCCCCTCCTTACTGATACTATGTGAAAGCAATAAGCCTGAAAAGAGACAAATCACCCCAATATCAGAATTTAGGTTAAACACTTTATTTTCTCACCAACAACCTAATCTTTATCTCTTAAACATAAACAAATATCACTAGTCTCTACAAGTATATTTTCTAGCTGATTTCTTTTAAACATCTTTAAACTATGCCATTCTTTTGCAAGGAAGCATCAATACCCAACTGCACCATGAAGATGTGTTATATTTTCAGTCAGAAAAACTATTAAAAGTGCTTTGAGTTTTTCATTGTGATTCCCACTTACCTAAACACATTTCATATAGCTTTTTAAAATCTATTGCTATTGTGATTGAAAATTATCATTGAGGTTTAGAAAACTGCTTGAGAACTAATCTGTTCAAATTCAAGGCACGTTGTTTTAACACTGCATGCCATACACTATATTATCTTGTTAAGAGATTTAAATGATTGTAAAAATTTTTTATATAGTAACAAAGTGCTTTTATTTAAAATTCCCTTTTTTTCCCCTAATCTCAGGAAATTACCTTCTGTCTACACAATCAGTTTATAGTAAAAGTCAAGTTTCTCTAAAACTTTGCTAATTTGTTTTACCATCATATTAAGTTATCAAAAATAAGGAAAACTGTAGATCAATTAGCAGTATTAAGCAAAGATAATTTCTGCTCTTCAGTCACCTTCATATAAATGCAACTAAAATTAAAGACTATTATGTAGTTAACTTTGTATACAGTGTACACATGCATGTGTACACCAACATAAATATTCATGTATGTACATATATTTATAAAGTGCTAAACCACACCAACTTAAATGTTTATATAAGATCCAAGGGTAGGAAAACAGAATTAAATACAATATCATGTTCACAGATTTTTTGACAGCTTTGAAATAAGACACAATACAGAATTCTCACACTTGTAACAAATTCTGTTTCAACAGATCTTCTTTAAATATTACAAGAGTGCCCCCTATTGACCAAAAGTATTGGCAGTTCAGCAGGAACAGCTAATTCCCACTTGCACAGACACAATGTGCAAGAAATGCTAGCACCTGTATGCAATACAATATATTTTTAATGCGGGATTATCAGAATATCTGAAATGTGTTAATCAGTAAATGAATAAGGAAAGGGGAATAAAAACAATGGGATATGCATGGTTTACACATCCCCCAATAAGAAATAATAGCTACTTTGAAGTACTTTTTGTCAGATACTGAACCAAACACTTCACATGCATTGTCTCATTTTAATATAAACACCTAGTCTTTCTGTATATTTGGATGAATGCTAATTCTTATTAATTTTCTGCTCGAATGTCTCATTACAAAAGATATAATCTCTGTGGGAAAACTACCTTGAGAACTGATAGAACTATATGATCAACTAAAGACATCCTTATTGAAAGACTTTTTTTAAAAAATGGAATAACTTTAATCTCACTTTTGTTTAAACCTGCTAAGTTCTAAGGGTGTGTGTGTGTGTCTGTGTGTGTGTGTGTGTGTGTGTGTGCTTTTTTGGTCTTTTGAAACAAAGTCTCGCTATTATTTACCTTAGTCTGGCCTTGAACTTGCAATCCTCCTGCCTCTGCCTCCCAAGTGCTGGGATTTTAAGTATACACCACCATACCCACCTGTCCTCAAATGTTTTACCAGCTGTTTTTTTTTTTTTTTTTTTTCCTGAAAGCTAATTATTCTTTACTCACCATGGACAGTGATGGTCCATTCTCCTCACACAGTGGCCACAGCGGCTGCAGTGATGCGAACGCTTTGGTCTCATCAAATTACACTTGTTACATAATTCCCAGAACTCCCTTTCTAGAATAGGAAATTAAGATCCTTTTAATGAAGGTAATAAATAGTAACAACTATTTAAAGTCAGTCTTTAATGTGTATCACTAAGAGATGTTTCTTTTTTCTGAGTGGCCAGTATAAACATCTTTGACATAAAATGTTGCCATTCTGTTTATTCTATGTATGCCTTATTTTATGTTTCTAATTTTAAACCCCACAAAAATAAGACACTATGGTTACCATCAAAGTAAGGAACAGAAAACACCGTATTTGGGTTTTGGCAAAATCTAATGACAAAATTCCAAAGTTCAACCAAACGAAAACAGAATTTTATTCAGACAAATACACAGCAATTGTATTATCTACAAGCACTAAAGAAGAAATGGTGCTGAGGCCTGTTCAGTAGCACATGAATATGTTGAAGTCAATCTTATAAATTCACTGAGAAGACAGAAAAGGCATTTACACACACGTTCTTTTCCTGAACCATTTTTTAAATATCAGTGAATTAATGCATAGAAGCATGTTAGAGGAGATCAGATGGGTTTAGAAGGTATCAGAATAGTTTCAAAGTGAAGGTTAGCATACATAAAGAGAAAGGCATTTGTTTTCATTATGAATTGTTCTAATCAGATCCACAAAATCATAGAAGAATCATTCTCCAAGACAAGACTAGCTTTATTATATAAAAAGTATCTTTTTAATGTTTACTGAAATGGAATTTTACAAAACTATTAAATTTTTCAGCACTTCTGTTATTACTGCCCCATAATCTCATTGAAAGTAAGGGCATGGTAAAATGACTACTTCCCATGTTCATAGTGGTATTAGTACATGCAGTGTAACCCTAGCATACAGTAGTCAGTCACTAAATGTATGAAAGTTTAAAACAAGAAAAAAAGAGAGACGAATCCTAAGTAAAAGTAAAAGAAGATAAGAGTAGATAGTACTCAATGTTCTGAAAAGATTCCCAATTTCGATTCTGTTATTTTAGTTTAATGGATGGGAATAAATAAATCAAAGTTTGTTTTCATATGACCCATGAACTAAAAAATTGTTTTTACAAGTTTAAATGATTGAAAAGATAAATAACTATGACATGTAAAAATCACATGAAATTCACATATCAGTGTCCATAAAGTTGTATTCGATACAGGCCCATTCACATTGTCTACGGCTGTTTTGTGCTACAATGGCAAAGCTGGGTTGTGACAGAAACCTGTGGCCCACAGAACTGAAACTATCACTATCAAGCCTTTACAGTAAGGAAGAGTGTGTCTAATGAAAGAGCTTGTACTAAAGGTACGATACAAGTATTTAAAATAAGAAAGACCTTTAAAAATTCAGTTCCATACACATACACAAGCATACACATGCCCTACATGTTCAGAAAACCAAGAAAGAAAATCACTACTGAAAAAAATTTAGAAATGTAATTGAATTATCATCTACAATGTTTTCACCTGCTGTGCCAAGAAAAAAAATCCATCTGCCTTAACCTATCCTGCTTACTAATAAAGCATTTTTTAGTCCCTTTCCCTTTCCTTCTTCAGGGTTTGCTCATGTCTAAATAGGACCTAGTGTCTGATACATTCTGATGTCTGATGACTATCTATTGGGTTTTTGTACTAGCCATGTAATACTGTAAAGAAAAGGCCCATGGGAGAGAGAATCCAATTGATAACTTATGGTAGTTATAGAAAAATTAAAAGCTAACACAGATATACTTTTAGGGAGAGAAAAATCAAAGAATAAAACAAAACAGAGAAAAAGACAAACTCCATAAATGATTGAGTTATTTAACATGAGTAAATGGCATGACATTGGTTGGCCTGGACTTTTACTAATGCTATAATGCCTGAATGAATATAAAGTTATGTTTGCTTTGGTTGATGTTAGCTCGCAGAAAAAAAGGAATCATCTTCTATTTGAACCTTTTGAAAGACTCACACTTAGCCAGGCATGGTGGCACAGGAGGATCATGAGTTCCAGGCCAGGTGGGTTATATACAGCCAAACTCTGTCTCAAACAAACAACAACAACAATAACAAATATGGGGCCCTCTCTCAATTACAATATTTTAAACCACAAAGTAATGTTTTGTGGAAAAATATTACTTGAAACTATCAAAATCAACACTGGTTTGGATTCTAATCTACACTTTCTTACAGAAATGGTCATCAGTGTAGGAAATCAATGTCAATAACTCTCTTATAGATCATCTTCAAGTGGCAATATAAGGGGAAGGAAAAAAGCAAAGCTCTGAGTGGACATGTGACCCTGTTCATCAACGGCACACACATCCTTATTGCTTGATGTAAAGTATTGAGGAACAACATAAAAACATGCTATCTTTTAACTTGGAAGATTCTGTGCCCTAACACTGTGGCAAACTGCAGTTCTGTGGATCACAGAACATTGGGGTTCTGCAATACTAACAGCTTGATGCTGATATTGCTAGAAAACTGATAATAGTGACAGTTGCACAACTACAAATATATAAAAAGCTGTTGAATGGTACACTTCAAATGGGGGAATGACATGGCGTATAAATTACACTCAACAAAGCAGTTTTTCAAAAGCTAAGAACTTCAAAATGGTAAAAATTCTATTTCTAAGGTTTTATTTCATGTTTGTTATTCCAAATATGCATGTGAATAGTTTCAAAACTGCAGACCTAAGAAGTTCATTTGACTATTTCATCTACATGCTCAAAAGTTTCTAAGATCAAGCTCTGGGAATCTGCTCACAGGAAAACAGAACATTGCCTTCTACTCCACGTGCCTCACATTTAATGGTCACATGTATACTAAAGTTATTATTGGAGAAAACAGAAAGGTATGTAAAATATTTCAGAGTAATTCAATAAAAGACGGTCAGAATCACAAAAGTATTAGGGCTTTCAGTTTCCTTTTCTGAAGAACGCAGTTATATGAAACTGCTTAACCTTCAAACATTCCTGAGCAAATGTCACTATTCTATACCTTTGACATTTTAGTCATGCTATATTATTTTTCACTGTTAAATTTTTGCATTTTTTTTACTAAATTAAAATCCAAAACCATATTTACAAAAGAATCAGGTAACCAGCACCAAGAAGTACATGATAACTTCAGTCTTCCCCAGAATCATAGCAAAAGTGAGTAAAGAGCTAAAATTACTGATCTGCAAATAATCCATGCTAAAAGATGAAAGAGACCAGGCCTTGGGTTTCACCCCAGCTCTGTAACATTACAGCTGTGCATTCTAGGACAGACAGCCCACACTCCTGACCGCCCAGCCTGGCGACCTCAACTACCATGAGGATTGTGTGACATCAGACACCGAACGGCTTTAGGAACCTTAAAATACGATAAACAACTACACTTTTTCCAAGTGGGTAGTAAGGGAGTTTCCTAGACTCAGAGAAGAAAACCAGGCCAACTGTCAACTGCAACAAAATGAAATCTAAAAGTCAGCAAAGTGCCATGATGGCCTCCATCTCTAGCATCTACAATCTAGACATGACAGCAGTGGTCCCACATAGACTCAAGTCTGTAGATAATATTTTATTATTTGTTTTGTATTTACAATGCTTTTAAACTTTTTAATCAGCTGCTGACATTTTTTTTTTGAGATAGGGTCTACCTATGTACCCCAGGCTGGCCTCAAAGCCAAGGTCCTCCTACCTCAACCTCTCCAGTGCTGGGATTATAAGCACAGACCACACTCAGCAAGAGGTGGTTTTGGTTTTGCCTTTTTTTTTTTTTTTTTTTTAATTTTAGTAGCATATTACAGTTGTGTAGGGGGGTACACTGTGACATTTACAAAAGTGCTTACAATATATCTAAGTTAGATTCATCCTCTCCATCTTTCTCCTTCTCCCTCTTCCCCACCTTCTTAGAGCAGTTTCAGCAGGTCTTACAGTTCCATTTTCATACATGAGTGCATAGCACTTTTACCATATTTGCTCTCCTTTCCCTTCTTCTTATGCCCTTCCACTGGTACCAACCCCCAAACAAGTCCAGTTTTATCTTCCTGTCCTTCATTTTTCAAAAAAGACATTTTTGTTTGTTTATGATGCTTATATAGGGTGACATTCATATATATGTACATATGGAAATATACCCCAAATTGGTTTGTCTCCTCCATTATTCTCTTTTCTACCTTAGTTCCCTTCTTATAGCGATTTCAACAGGTTTGAATGTTCCATATTCATTCTTGTAAAGAAAGTACATCAACCATATTCACCTTTTTTACTTCCTTCATTTACCTTCCCACTCTCATTAGAGCAAAATGATGAAATTTCTCATAAAAAATAAGATTCCCTCTTGCTATGGTTTGGGTATAGTTTGCTCCTCAAGGGTCTCTGTTGGAAGCTTGGTACCCAGCGTGGTAATATGAAAGCTGACAGAATCTTTAAGATGTGCGGCCTAGTGGGAGGTCTTTAGGTTTTGAGGGGTGCTGGCTCAGAAGTGACTAGTCTCTTGGAGTGAGTTCTCATGAAAGCAAGTTGTTATAAATGCCCGAACCTAGCTCCATCTAGTCTTTCTCTGGCTTCCTGTTTGTCAGCATGATTGCTTGCTGCTGCACACACTAGCATCACCATTGCCATCCACCATGATGTGACACAGCCAAAATGGTCCTCACCATTCCCTTAAACCTCCTCAACTGTAAGCTAAATAAACCTCTCTTCTTCATAAGGAGCCTACCTCAGGTATTTCATTATGGTAAGACAAAACTAACTAATACAGAAAATTGGATTCTAAGAGTAGGATTGTTACCTGAAAACATGGAGTTGACTTTCAAACTGGATTTCTGACAGAATTTGGAAGGGTTTTAAGAACAGGCTAGAAAAAGTCTATAATATCAGAAACAGAGCTTTATGGGCAATTCCAGTGAAGGCTCAGAAGACAATGAGACTCAGCAATTAGTGGTAGATTAAAATGAGGGTTCTACTGGAAATTGGACTAGCGCCTCACCACAGCCTGAACCATACCATATGAACTCTTAGCATCCTAAGTTGTGAGCTAATAAGTCTTTTCTTTATAAAGTCAGCCTGCCTTGGATATTTCATTAGTATGACAAAAAGCTAACTAGAATACAGTTGTTTCTGTTTTTAAAACTTTAAGATCTAACAATCTTCCTTTCACTGATCAGCAGTGGAGTCCACAGGTATCTGACCAGCTGCAAACAAAAGAATTCATCAGAAGTGGGTCCAGAGTCAAAAAAGGCCTGCTCCTTTGTTCTGGGGCTGCTGGGATTTAGTGTTGAGGCAAATAATGCATGTGTGAAATATACTAGAGACCTCGTGGCTATGCCCTTGGGAGGAAAAAGGATTCTATACAGATTGCTGAGAACATCCTTTTCTGCCTCCACCACAAAACACATGCACACTAGTTGCTAAGTGACACTGCTAATGTTGCTCTAAGTTAATAAACTATTCAGCATCCAGAAAGGTCTACAGTTGCCTAAACATTGGGGTAATACTCCTATGTAATCTCTAAATTTGAAAGGCCAAGTAAGCCCTAAATGATGGATTTCAAAAATAATAATCAGGACTTACAGGAGGCTCAAAATGACTTGCTACTTGATCTCATTTCATTGGAATTACTGCACTGGCTCCCAAACTTTGCTACACACTGGAATCACTCGGGATCTTTCAAAAAACTCTGATACCTATGCTAATACCCAGATATTCTGATTTAATTCATATGGGGTTTGACCTGGACAGTGAGATGTTTAAAGCTCCCCAGGTAACTTTTTAACATGCAGCAACTTTGAACACCACAAAATTACTACAGAAAGTATTCTGATTCTATAACGCACTACAAAGAAATACAAATTTCTCACTAGAATGAAGTGTAGAATTCTCAAAGCTTACATAGCAAATAAACAAAAGGTGAGACTCAGGAAAGAGAATAGATGGAGTTTATGCCATAGCTGGTATATAACAAAACAGCAATACATTTTCATTCTTCTTTTCTCTGTCAGTACTGGGGTTTGAAATCAGGGCCTCACACTTGCTAGACAATTGCTCTACCATTGGAGCCATGACCCCATTCCATTTTCATTCATTTTTGTGTTTGAATGGTTGAATGGTTATTATGCAAGAGGATGATTGAAATGACACCAGAATAAAAGGCTTTCAAATTTTTCATGGAATTATTACAATTTGGAGAAATGTAAATATTTACTCCAAACTACATTTACAGTATCATGAGGTAAATGGTGCCAACATGAAAAATCCTTTCTTTAATAAAAATAGAAATCTCTCAGGTAATTATATTTGATTTGACAAATATTTCTTTATACATCTAAGTGACAGAGGCTCTGCTGGAGACTAGGGATAACATACTATACAAAGAAAACCAAACAAAAAAATCTTCATCCTCATATCCTGAATGGGTGGAGGGAAAGAAACATAAACTAAGTTAGAAGGCTGGCCAGGAATGAGAGGGTGTGATGGGGACCGTGTGTGATCTTAAATACACAAGTCTAGAAAGGAGCATTTTTGTGAGCAAAGACTTAAAAGGGGTGCCCAGGGACATACAGTGCATCTGAAAGGCAGTAACTCTGCATCAGCAAAACTGCTCAGTACACACAGTATCATACCTCCATGTGGGATCTTGGGGTTCTCAGGGAGTCTTCCTGGATCCGTTATTGAGGCTCTCACTAAGGCAACCAGACAAAATATGGCAAGGCCATAGAACACTTTAAAATAAATAAATAAGCAGATTAGTCACTCGCCCTTTAAAACATTTTATCAAAAAGCATAAAGTTTAAAAAGCACATTTCAATGATCATCATGATAAATAATTTTCAAAAGATGAGCTGGAAAAATCAAGAGACTAAATCATTTTACTCACAAAATAATACCACCGAGAACACTACATGAAATGTACCAACTTAAAATATTGTTTTTCATAATAAATTACAAATGCTATAAATCAGATTCTATATTAACAGTGGTTTCAAATAAACAATGGTGTAAATAAATAAATGGGCACCCTTTTAATTCATCCAAAAAAAAAAAAAAAAAAATATATATATATATATATATATACATACACATACACTTTTTTTTTAAGTGATACTGGGGTTTGAACTCAGCATCTTGCACTTGCTAGCCAAGTGCTCTACCACTTGAGTCACTCCTCCACTACTATTTTTGGTTTTAGTTATTTTTCAGATAGGGTCTGGCATTTTTGCCTGGATTGGCCTTGGACTATAATTCTCCTACCTATCCTTCCCATGTAACTGAGATTACAGGGGAGCAACACCACATTCAGCTTGTTTATTGAGATTTTGCCAGGGCTGGCCTAGACCCATGATACTCCTGATCTCTGCCTTCTGAATAGTTGGAATTACAGGCACAAGCCACTGCACACAGCCATACATGTAGTACATTGTAAAGGGCCAAAATATTCTACATTTAAAATTTTTATTAACTCTGTGCTCAATTGCCCTTTTCGACTGATCTTAAGATGCTTACTTTGAAAATACAGAATTAAGAAACTTAGCTGGCAGAGTGGCTCAACTGACAGCACACCTACCTATCAAGCACGAAGCACTGAGTTCAACCCTGAGTATCACCAAAAAAAAATAGAAAATTTGATTTTCAAAATAACCAGAAAAAAATAACAGTAAGGGGAAATTGACATTCAGTCTCCATAATTTCATATTTTAAATTAATAAGACACAAGCATTCTACTGGGGGAATGAAAGGATTAACATACTGACCATGTAGAAGGAAACAGTTTTGAGTGCTCACTCCAGGACTGATTGCATGACACTGTTCAGTTTATTTCATTTTGTTTTTGTGACAAGGCCTTGCTATGTACCTTAGGCTGCCCTCAAACTCAAAATCCTGCCTCAGCTTCTGACTGCTGGGATTACAGAGGTGTACCACCATGCCTGGTGATACAGGCCGGTTTTATTTGTATAACAGAGATTTTATTTCCTACAGTTCTTGTGAGATCAAAGTTAGGGAGAGTATACGAAAAGTATAAATGCTATGGATAGATACAATATACCATTTTGATCTGTTCTTTTAATCATAAGCAAGCCATCATCAATGGACTATAGCAGAAAAGAATTATCTGGAAGTTCAAAGCTATCACAATCAACTTCATAATCAGTGATTTTAGTATCATGAAATTCTTACCTTGCAGTAATGTACGCTATCTCTTTTCTTAAAACTTTCACATTTAAGCTAGGCACAGTGGTACATACCTATAATCCCAGTACTCAGAAGGCTGAGGTAGGAGGATAGCAAGTTTGAAGCCAGCCTAGACTACGTAGTGAGACCCTGTCTCAAAATACCAAAAAAAAAAAGAAGTAAAAAATAAAACTTCCACGTTTGCAATTAAAATGCACACAGACACACAATTATTAGTACTGTTTTCAGTTTTTTTAACAAAATGGTCTTTATATATTTTGCAGAGCTAAAATGTAGAGGTAGCATTTTTATCTAACTGAAAATATATAATGGCTATTGTTTTTAAACTTCTATAATTTAGTAAATAACAATACTAATAGCACTACTAAAATAACAAATACAAATACATTAGAACAATCACAATGAGAAAAATCTTTACCTATATAAGAAAACAAAGACTTAGAAACTTACGTATTACTAATGCGCCTGGAATATGTCCTTCCTCATAGTGAGGAAGGATGATGATCTTGGGAATGATAGCAACATTGAATAGCCAGACACAGACAATCACAGCCAGGCAGCACCAGCCATGTGGGTCAACAACAAAGTGAATCCGGAAACCCATCGTGCAGCCCGAGAACTGCCTGTCAACCCACAAGGAAGACAGTCCTAAGAAGGAAGGAAGAAAGAAGTTACTAGCAGAAAAAAGTGTGACCAAAAACTGCATTTCTGACAACCATAAGTAACATTTACTAAGTTTTTTAAGTGAATTTCCTTTTTTAAAAAATAATAAATAGGAGAAAAACAGAAATTTCACCAAAAGCTTCAAAGGACTTCAACAGTTCCTTATGAATTGAGACTGAGAGGGCAGGCTTGCCTTTAACTTTGTCTACTAAAGTTGAAATACATGTTTGTTCTTACACCAGCAAGTTCATGTGGAAGCCTAAGAGAAATGGGGGGAGATGTCAACAAAAGACACGTATAAAAAATTAGTAGCTTCAAACCACAAGACTAAATGATGGTCACAGAGTCAAATTAGTGGTTCTCTTGAAGGGGAAACAGTGTCTGTTAACTGGAGGAACCTGAGAGACCCTCTGAAGGGCTGAATGTCTCTGTGTTGGCCTGGGTGGCACCTCGTGGGTTTGCATAAATAAACATTCACTGAGCTGTGCTTTTAAGCTTGTGCACTTTAGTTTAATTTTAAGCCATAATATTTTTTAAATCATTCTGAAAAATTTAAATGACAAATTGCTAAAAATGTTAAAATTCCTGGAATAAAGCTCCACTAATTTCATTATCATCACCTCAGGAAGCCTCATTTTTAAATGGGGCTGTCTTTTCAGTTGAGCATTAACAATCCAACAGAACTCCAAATGAGAGACAACCTCCATGTGCATGAAGAAACTTCCATACGTGTGACAACGATAAAGTGACTTACAGGATGTCCAGACTTTAGTAAATACAACTCATAAAGCTTAAACAATAAGTACTGTTTAAGGTTCAGGGCATCTTTCACATAAAATATAATGGCAGAATAATAAAATAGGATGTGATTCTCCAACCTGTAAGCAAACCAGCATCAACCTGGGAGTTTAAAAAAAAAAGGTACATTCCCAGACCATATTTCAGAACTACTAAATCATAATTCTTCATAAAGCTAAAACCAGTAAGATGCTCTCCAGATGCCTGATATGGCTGACTGCTACCTAGGAACCACTAATCCACTGAACTTCACACCAACATCATGCTCAAGAAGTATTCACTGGGCCTCTGCTATGTACTAGTCACTCCCTAGACACTGTAGATACAACTGAAGAAGACAAGGCCTTTCCTTAAAGATACTAACAGACTAAGGGGAAAAAGAGTCATATAGAAGGTTTCGTATAATATGCCAAGTTCCAGATTTGGGGACAAGCTTCTAGGAAGAGCATAGAAGATGGGTAGAGTAAAATCAGGACTCAATCAAGACTTCCTGTAAAATGTGAAAACTGAGCTCTGTCTAAAAAGTAGAAGTTATCCAATCAAAGAAAAGTAAAACAAGATTGCCAACAGAAGGAACAGCAGGAAGTATGTGAAGGTAAAAACTGTATGAGGTATACAAACAGCTGTCCCAAATTACAAGGCTTTCTGTGGACAGTGGCTGGGGACAATGCAGGGGTATGTCATTAAAGGGAGGCTAAGACTTCATTCAAAGACACAGAAAAGCTGCCAAGGCAGGAAGTGAGCATGAGAAGACTTGCATTTTTTCTTGTTTTGTTTTGTTTGCAGTACTGGAGTTTGAACTCAGGGACTACACCTTGAGTCACTCCACCAGCTCTTTTTTGTGTGATGGGTGTTTTCGAGATAGGGTCTTGTGAACTATAAGCCGGGTGGCAGGAGCACATACCTGTAATCCTAGCTACTCAGGAAGTAGAAATCAAGAGGATCGTGGTTCTTAGACACCGTGGGCAAATAGTTCATGAGACCCTATCTTGAACATCTGTATTTTAAATAAGTTATTGAAGCTAAAGACAGACCAGTGAGGCTAAGAGAACACAAAAGCCCAAATTAGTTTTCAGAGAATGGATCAATTGAAGAAAAAGTCAGCATCAAACAATGAGTCTTACTAATTGACTTGACATTAGGAGTCACTGAGGAGAGTCACAGGTGACTCCCCGACTTCCCACTTACATCCTTAACTGTTTCATTCTAAGAATAATTAATCTTCATCTGAATAGCCTTGGGTACCATCCACTAGAGGCCTTGCCAATGCTCATGGAAACTAAGAAAGATGGAGAAACACTTGATTTTAAAGCAACTGCCCACCTCTCATCCCTAGATCCTGAGAACTACTGGGGCAACAGAAAACAAGACAACTCCAATACAATGCCACTCAAAGACTGAAGTTCGATATGCTCCAAATTAAGATTTGTATAAGAATTCTACAATAGGAGCAGTGCCTCAGCTTTTAAAAAAGTACAAGTTGAACATTGTTACCTTTTAAGTAGAAATAAAAAGGCAGATCAGTAAGTGAGGACAGTCAGAAGATATAAAGCATGCTGTGTAATTTACTAGGTATCATTACTTAAAAAACTAAAGAACATGAATTCAAATGGAAAGCTGATAGATCACTAACAAGAAATATTCTAAAGAATGCTAATTTTTTTCTTTTCAGTCATTTTTGCTATTGTTGTTTGTTTGTTTTGATACAGGGCTTCACTGTGTTACCTGGGCTGCCCTCAAACTTGAAATCCTCCTGCCTCAGCCTCCCTAGTACTGAAATTACAAATGTGTGCCCAGCAAGAAGGTTAATTTTTCACAGCCTTGCTAATTATCAAGTGCTAAAAGAAATGACAGAAGGCTCTGTTTTCTCAAACAGAGCCATGCTCAAAATTATTATTTCAATTAAGTTTCAGTTCTATTGAGGACTAAAAACAGAATATAAAGTTCAATAATTACATAGCATAGAGCAATTTCATTACTCATTTCTATTAACTTTAGAAAAGAGAAAGGCATACAAGCCAACACAGCAAGTGGGAAAACTATCAAATACTCATTCATTTTTTGAACTCTCATTTTATTCCTCGGCCAGAAAACAACACATTTTTCTTATTGCCAAAAGGTCCCTCACAACAGATACACTACGGTGAAAAGGATCATTGAAAATGTGTCTGTTTATCCTAAATGAAAAGATACAGATGATAAGTTCTAAAAGAACAAGTATCCCCAAGGAAGAGTAAGAATAGAAAAATTAAAACAATGACCAAGAAAGATGCTAAATATTTCAAGTAAATACCTGATCAGTACAAACTAGTGCCTCATGATCCTTACAGTGGTGGTACAGAAGAAAACAGTGGTCTTCCAAGAGCTCCAAATCAGAGGACAATTACGAGCGCGTTAGCTGGGAGAGGCGACAGGATGGCTCCACTCAGGTACTATCTAGCAGGTGTGGCAGACGGCTGAGCAGAAGTCTTACACATCCCGAGGAGCAACCCAGCTGAGCACAGTGGTGCTGCTCAGGCTCCAGGGCGGCATTTGTAAATCTCCAGCTAACTTTCATTAGCTAGAGATTCCGACACACTAATTTGTATATTAAATGGTGAGCTCATAGCTCAAACTTTGATGTGACTACTGGAGGTACTGGTACCTCCACATTTTTTAAGATTGCTATCTGGTAACTATACTTGAGTGCTGTGACTAGCTTCATAAGGATGTAAATTGCTACAGCACAAACTTTTTCAAAGAAAGCCCTAGTAAACTATACTGAGTAAATATTTATGATGCTTAAATTATTCTGATGGGTCTCAACCTTTCCTTTTTTGCCTTTTCAGACAATTGTATTTCAGTACACATTTTCCTAAGGAAGAGTAAGTCACCATGAAAAGAAAATAACACAAAACCGCCATATGACAAGAAAACTTTAATACCAGAAAGTAAATTTTAGAGTCATAAAGATTAGCCAAAATAATTAACAGGAAATCTAGATAAACATACATCTCTAAGCTTAGTTTTAAATGACTCTCCACCTCAGCCAAAGCAGTTTTATTACCATGGTATGAATATGAAAGTCATATTCCATCACTTGTTCCTCCTGTCTGAAATGTCCTGACCACTCTACTTACTCTTTAAATTTAACTCATAATTCAAAGTCAATTTGACTCTCACTCGATATCTGAAATTTTTTCTGGCACTTCAATTCACAGTGATTTCTCTTTCTCTTCAAAATTTCAACAAAAAGCAAACTACTGGAAGAAAACAGCAAGTGATTTTAAAAGTTTGGAATGAGGATGGCATTCACAACCAAGACCAGAAAGCCATAAGTTTAAATTTCTGAGTCCAAAACAAAATTCAAAGACAAAGCATGCCTGAAAAAACATTACAACATATGACTGATAAGTAATTATATAAAAAGGCAATTCACAAACAGAAAAAACAATCCAATGGCTAATCATTACTAAACAGGTCAATACGAAATAACTAAGCACATTTCTCATCCATTTCACTGAAAAACTTTTGGAAAAACAGCTTCATATATCCAATGCTAACAGAAAATTCTCACATATTACTGATGTGCATGTACTGACACAGTCACTTAGAAGGGTATTTTGACAGTATCTATCAAAATGTAAAAACCTTTTACCTAGGAGTTATTTTTAGTAATACCTATGAAAGTACTCATGAAACCATGCAAGTGTATATATACAAAGATGTACAAAGATACAGCACTCTTTGGTTTTTTTTTTGTTTTTTTTTTTTTCATTTTTCTTTTATTATTCATATGTGCATACAAGGCTTGGTTCATTTCTCCCCCCTGCCCCCACCCCCTCCCTTACCACCCACTCCACCCCCTCCCGCTCCCCCCCTCAATACCCAGCAGAAACTATTTTGCCCTTATCTCTAATTTTGTTGTAGAGAGAGTATAAGCAATAATAGGAAGGAACAAGGGGTTTTGTACAGCACTCTTTGGAATCATAAAAATATTGTACCATTTAACAGTTCACAAGAAGAGGAGAATGCTAAAATGACTGCAATTTGGGGGAGTGGAAGAGAAAAAGGAGACAGTCTAGATCTGCATGTGACTACCTATAATCTACTGCTGAGTGAATAAAGCAAGTTACATAGACAAACACAAAATCTATGATGGGGAATTTTAATAGTGATGTTTCTGGTGGGGAAGGGATAAAGACAGAAGGAGCACATGGGAATTTTCTGCAGTGCACACAATGGCTATATTTCAATATGGAGTCTGAGTTATACAAGTGGGTGAATTTGTCAAAACTCAGACACTTAAGCTCAGTACATTTCATGGTATATAAATGAACCTTAAATAAGCAAAACTGTAAAACAATATTGATCTCTATGATATGTACACTGAAGTACGGTGTAAGGGGAGCAACCGACATCTACAATTTGCTTTGAGATGAATCCAAAATCTAATAATAAAGTTGAATGATGGACAGACAGAGGAGTAGGTGATGAAGTTCAGTAACATATTATTTACAGAATCTATGTAATAGGTATTCAGATGTTACAATATAAAATTCATTTCCATGCTTCTGTATAAGGTTTTTTTCAAAATGAATGTTGGGGGAAGCAAGTTGTAGAATAGTTTCTATAATTAACTAATGAACAACTACCTGCCTCTAAACATTGCAGTCTAAGGATACTACGCCACGTAAATCAGAAACATATTCCCATGTAAAATCAAATGCAAACTTACCACTTGCAGATTCACTGAGATATCCTGTGATTTTTCTGGTACTTGCATTTAGATGTTTTATCTTGATTCATTCTTTTTTTTTCTCTCTCTCTCTCTAACTACATCCCACCAAATAGATCTCTCTTTCAGTTACAGTTCTTCAGAAGCACCTATTAATGGTTTAAGAAATAAAGATCTCTCACAAAGGTAAAATATTGTAAGCAACTAAACAGTCTACCTGTGAAAATACCAAGTACAAAAGTTTTAAATTCAGAAATAAGAGAAAATGAACCTCATTCTGTGCTTTCATGTTCCATTCATCCCCCTAGACTTTGCATTCTCTTACCATAATACAGGAAAACTCTCTTTTGAAATCATCCAATTCCCATAAAATGAAATTAACATCATATTTTCAGCATTTGAGCTTCACTTAACTTCCTTGACCCCAAATCACAAAATAGCAACAGATTCTGAGATCACTCTGTGGGAGAATACAGCATAATATATATCAAGACGTAAGGCTAGAAGTATCTAATCACACTTAGATATAATGCATGTGGATATATAATACATTCAATGTATGACACATAATACCCGTCAAAGCCACCAGTCAATTGGAAGCAAAGGGCAGATTCTAAGATGGTGCCAAGTTTCTGGCTTAGGGACTAAGTGAAGGTTGTACCACTCTTCAAGACAGGAAAGACAACTCGAGATATAGATTTGTTCAGCATACTGCTTAGCACTGCAACAGCAAACTAATACATGATGACGCTATGAAAAGTACGTCAGAGTCATTATCACTGCACTTCCAGGCCCCTTTATAAATTTAGTGAAACCAACAAACACACAAACTACCACTTATATTTTTCCCAGGGTCAATTTTTCTATGGTCTATGATAAATTGTCAAGTACCATTTCTTTCTACTCTAAGTTTTTAACCTAATTTAAAGTAGTCTCCTTGGCTGTACCTAGCTTCTTAGGGACAAAATATAGTATGACAAAGTTAAGGAGATGCTACCCAGATGACAAATGAAAAATTATTTTTCCAGAAAAAATTCCAAACAGAATTTAATGTGGTACAACAAAATGTTCTGAAACACATCCAAAGTCATAAGGCTACTAAGACTCTGACTCCGAGGGCGGCTTCCTAATATTTCAACAAAACAGGAGTTTCTGTCAGTAACTTCATTAGGTAATAGCACAGGCCAATCACCCATGAGTCAAATCCCAGTCACTCATTGGCTTAAAATCAAGAAAAATCTCACTTTACATTTACAGGTGATACATTGAGGAGAAAGCATCCAAAGTCATTAACACTGTCGCTGACACTATGGAATCAAAGTTCATCTATGTGGTATAAAAGTTAGATCCAACAATTCAAAACATTAGGGGATGACAAAATCCCAAAGTTTCAGAACAAAATGCCATTGAACATTTTTAACACTGTTATTTCCTAAAGAATTCTATCAGCAATTCGCAGGATAAGTTTTCAAACAACCACAAAAATTCTTTTCTCGAGGGTAAAGAGAAAACAGATACTATAACAAATGAATACATGATATTTAAAACGCTTTGCAGTCAAAAAATTTAGAAAAAAGTTACAGTCATCTATTGTTAAGCATACTCAAATAGCTATAACTTTATAGCTATTTGAATTTTGACTTTATTCTGCTCTGAAAAGTGGCTAATCATGACAGTTACCTGAAACATCAGAGTCTAGCTACCTCTAATAATTGGCTAATAAAGTAAATGAATTTTTTAAATATCATACAAGTATTCAGCTTATTATCAACAGAGTAGAAAATAAATCTTGTACAAATGTTAAAAAACAGAGAGCCATGTTCAAATTACAGCACAGCCTCGTACTTGCTTTCCAAGCTTTATTTTACCTAACTGTAAAATGAAGATAAAAATATCAGCTTCCAGGGTTATTGTCATGCTTAAATGAGAAGTTGCCTAACAAAGCAGCATCTTCAAAATAGTAACTTTAAAGGGAAGTGAGCAGGGGGAGAGGAAAGAAAACTTAAAATTGAGTTATACTTTTAGTTTTAGACTCCCAAATGAAACAAGTGTTTCTGGGTCCTGTTATTAAAAATAGTGATACAATTTAACCATACCCCATTGTCTATTTTCTCTAATACCAAACACTGCAAACTACTTGTCAGAGAAAAAGTTCAGCTATAACAGCCTATCTAAATTGACCTTGGATCTCTTCAAGCAGAAAACCCAAAATAGAAGTTTGATCTAAAATAGAATGATTGAACTGAAGCACCTCATTTAAATATCTTTCAAGTACAAGCAGGATTGGTGAGCTAAGAAATAAAGCCTGAAAAAAAAATAAGCACTTGATTTCAGAAGCTAATGAAGAATGTATAATTAAAGCAGGGAATACTGAATAAATTACCAAGTTCTCCAAGAAATTAAGTAAAAATGTGGGTGTGGTGAAGTGTCAAAACAACCTTGCACCATCGCTACAGAACCCGCTCTGCAGAACAAGTCTCTAAGTCACTACCTTCTGGGCAAACCTGAACTAAGCTGTTGTCCTGTACACCTGCCTCCTGGGTAAAAAATAACCATCAGTGCTGGAGCTCTACTCAGAATCCTGCTCGGTAGTGACATACTTCATCAGAATCTCCTACCAAAAAGTAGAAAGAACTTGGAAGGCAAGGGGTGACATCAATTTCAGTCTACCAAATATTATTTCAGTCAGTATAAAATGTCTACGTGAGAATTTTCATTAGGGAGGTAAGAGCGTGGGGGAAGGAACGAAAAGGCAAAACTGAATGCAGAGCAACGACAACCTCTACTCCAGACACAGTACAGGGAAAATTCTTCATGGGAAAGGCAGAAATGAAGAGGCTAGGATTTTCCTGGGTGTAAACAGCCATGTTCTTCCAAGAGGGAAGGTGAACCAGCTACTGATCACCTAGTACCCAGCATGCCAAAACTGGCTAGGGGAAGAAAAGGAGGCTGACTTAGATTGCCTCCACACCAGAATTTACCATGAGCCCAGTGCATTGTGCTTCCTACAGCAGTAACACTCGAAGAAAAATCTCCTCTCCACTGCTTGCTCAAGCTGAAAATCCTACAGTTCATGAAAAAGTTATTTATTCTATAATTACAGACAAAAGACTGAAAATTACAAGCCTGCTTCAGATCATACTTAAGCATTTTAAGCTAAAATGCTTGAATGGTAAATGCTATTTTTTAACTAGCCTGCCCTTTTGTGAAAGAAGCAACAGATAAGGGAAGACAGCAGATACCTAACCAGCCTCTGAAACTGGGAAGAACACTGATCTACTCTGAGAACAGGACAAACTGGAAAATGTCACATTTTACCCAAGGTAGATCTAAAAGGGGAAACAAATAAACCACCATCACACTTCAGTGTTTTGAGTCAGGTAGCTGACTCATTTCATCAGGGATTCTTAACTGATAAATTGCTAATCTGACAATTAAAAAGACCAATGTTGGGCAGGTATGATGGTACATGCCTGCAATCCTAGCACTCAGGTGGCTGAGGAGGATGGAGAATTTGAGGCCAGCCTAGGCCACTTAGCAGGACCCTGTCTATTGAGAGAGACAAAGAAGTGTTGTTTTTCCATTTATTCTACTTTCTCACCTTGCATATCCTAGGCAGGTACTCTACCACTAAACTATAGCCCCAATCCATCCCCTATATTTTGTTTACCGATTCAAAAAACTTCCAACATTCTTCACTTCAAGTATGTATGCATTGATTATTCTACTCGATGCTAAATTGTCTTTTAATTCTAGCACATTTAAAAAGTTCAATCTGAGCCTTGATATTTTGTTAAAGTAATATAAGATTTCTACATGCCTTAACAACAAAGTAAAACTGGCACTAAAAACAACCTTTCCTCCACCTTCCTGCTGTGCCTGTAGTGTTGATGCTGCCACTTGTAGCTACCTGGGCTGGAAAAGTTTCATTGACTCACTCTTAATTATGGTTCCAGCAAAAAGCCCCACGGAGACATTACTAGATTGCTCAATAAGCTTCTTCACTAATCCACGGCACTATTTTATTCATGGGCTTTCCCACAGTTTCTGAAACACACACTGTAAATTAAAGAAATTAGGTAGTAGGCAAATAAGAAATAAAAATTTCATAATTCACTGATTACTTGTCTTAGAACCTACCTGTTAGGCTGATAAAGATTATGTGTATGCATTTTTAAATGCTTAAGTTTTAAGTTTAAGTACTTTATTAATTAAACAAATCCTTGTTCCAAGTACAGCTTCTAATACATGTTAACAGAAATCTCAACATTTTAAAGTTATCTAATTGTTTTGCATACAAAATAATGAATTCGGGAGTTCATCTGTTCTGGTACTCATTTTACTAAAACTTTTCACAAGGCAAATATTGTAAATGTAGCTTCTATATGGTAAAGAGTCTTAAATTATTTACAAACATGGCATTCCCCAAAGTAAATATGGAAAATTTAAGAGAAAAAAATTAGTCTTAAAGAATTTAGTCTAAGCCTGGCACAGTGGTACACTCCTATAATCCCAGCACTTGGAAGGCTGAGGCAAAGTATTCTAAGTTCCAAGCCAGCTTGAGCTGCACAGCTCAAGAAAAAGAAAAGAAGAGAATTTTGTCTAGTTGTATATGGATTAGAAAATAAGCTGGGTCACTGACCTACCCATGACCTCACTGATGGAGAGTGTCAGAATCCGCACTAGAACCTGGTTTTACTTTCCACAATACCAAATCTCATTTGGCTCTTTCCTTCCAAATGATTTCTTACCCCATCTCTTCTTCAAAAAAGCCTTTTGCTACTAAGAGATAGTACACCTAACGCAAAATAGAGCATCTCTTTGAACTGTGTCTTTAAAGTAAATCTAGAGTTGGAAGTAGTTAATACCACACCAAAAGCCTCTCCATTCAGGAATGGCAGTACTAAGCATTCATCAATGGTAATTACTATTATTATTTTTTGCCACAAGATAGGTAGTGGATTTTTTTAGGCACAGGTAAGTGGAGGGCCCATTGGACACATCTTTTTAACTTGCACTTAATTGTCCTTATTTGTCTTTATTTTAGACTGTAACTTTACACTATGATTTATGACCCCGTCCACAAGGACCCTGATTTGTTTTCCCTCTTCTACTTTTATGAACTGCTATATTGCCATATTTTCAAGTAATAATTGGTCAGGTCCACTTAGCCCTGAAGATACAAGCAATATTAACATGTGACCAAAGTAGAGTTTGAGAAAGACCATAATTTAAATGGTGTCTCCAGTTAAAACCCAGCGATCTGTGCTGGAGAATGGTAACAAGTGCACAGTGTGGCCATCCATAAGCCATTTTCTGGAACCACCCTTACTCTGGGGGAAGGGAGGGCGAAGGTCAATGAAGGAGCAAACTATATTTCCCCTCCTGCAGAGTGAATGGAAGGCTGTCACAGCATGGAGACCCGGGGTCCCAGCGCAGGGCTTGGGGCAGGGGCTGCGCAGAGGGAAACAACCGCAGGTCACAGGCAAGGAACTCAGGGCACCGATTTTTTTCTCCCAACCACAGCAGGAACCCACCCCCTAGGCGTCACGCGAGGGGCACTTGGAGAAGATGCTCCGAGGCCAGGCCCCGGAGGTGGCGGGACAGGTGCAGCAGGGGCTGGGTGGCACGGGGGAGGTGGCACCCGAAGGGCGCGGGCACCTGGGGCGGGGGTGTCCCGGGCGGGGGGCTGGGTAGGCATCGGGGATGCGGGGACCCGGGGTGCGCGGGCACCGGGATGCGCGAGGACTGGGGAGGCACCGGGGATGGGAGGGGGAGCGCGGGCACCGGGGACGCGGCCCGCGCGCGCCGCACGCACTCACCCTCGCCGCCCGCTCGCCTGTCACCGCCGCGGCTCCCGCGACCGCCAGCAGCTCTTCCCCGACCTCCTGCTCGGACGCCGCCACCGCCGCCCAGGCCGGGCCGCGCTCCCCTTCCGCTTCCGGGAGCCCGAGCGCCGGGCCGGGCCGAGTGGGTGTCCGCGCGCCCGCGCGGGGAGGGATGGCCGCCGCCGTAGCCGTCGCCGCTTCGCGCCCCGCAGCCGCGATGGCAGCCGCCGAGGGCCGAAAGACCAGAAGTGGTTCCGCGGCGGGGCCCCGGGGACCGCCGTCACCGGAACACCCGTACCTGGCGTACCTTGGAGCCTCGCCCTCCCCTCGGCTGCCCCCTGCCCGGCTTCGCTCAGGCTGACATCGTTGTCCCCGCACCCTCCCTGTGCAGGACGGGGGCCTCATGTTTAAAGATCGCGTGAGGCCTCCTTCCATCGGGGGATGATTCGCAGGCCTCTGGCCCCCCTGACGCGCGCTCGGTGGCCCCAGGGTACCTTGCTTCAGAGTGCGGTCTGCAGCATCAGCATCCACGGGGAACATGTAGGAAATGTAACGTCTCAGGCCAGCTGCATGGGCACCTGCCTTTTAACAGGATCTCCAGGTGATTCCTACGGGCGCACCTTACACTGTTGTGCAGGGTCTTACCCTCTTCCCACCTTCTATTGGGATGCTCCAGCCATCCAAGAGTTTTCCAGTGTCTGTGGGCAACCTCAATCCATACACAAATAAACTTTACTTATATCTCAGGAGACCTCCAAAAGTTGCAACTTTCCCATCTGGGTAATCCAGGAAAACTGAACTGATTGGACAATGCAAACAATTCACCTCCAGGTCTAATTTGGTGTCTTCACCAAACACCAGGGGAATACTCATGCCTTTCCCACATCATCGTGGAGGAATAGGACTTTGGAACGCTTACACTATTTGCAGTGATGTGAACCTAGACTGATGCGCCTGCGTGGCACAGAAGGAGATAGTGGCTGGGAGAAGTGTGCTGTATAAAGTTCCTTGTAATATGGAATTGAAAGCCCTCCACAAGTGGGTCTGTTCCTCCGTCTTGAGTCCTAGCTCCAACTAACTTGGTTCATTTTCTCTAGAATTCCTTTCATTCATTCCCCTAACATGCTCTTTCTCTCTTCGCTGGTGATCTTACTCCTAGCCAAACTTAGGAATCAACTGAAATCCTTCCAGCCCTCACACTTCTCCATCACCACTGTACTTGTATAGCACTCTGGCTTATTTTGAGCCCTTGTGTTATCTTGTTTTGCTAAGGATTTTAAGATGTGTTCTGTCCTACTGAGCAAACATCTTGTGACCGTAAAGACATGGTTTCAGAATATGGTCCTCCAATCAGCAGAAACAGCATCACCTGAGAATCTGTGACAGATTGTCGTCTCCAGTCCCACCCCAGATCAACAGTATTAGAAATTTTGGAGGTGGAACCCACCACTGTGTGGTCTAACAAGCCTTCCAAGTGATTCTAATGCACATTCAAGGGCTAGAATTACTGACCTAGACCATCGAATCCTAAAGGAATTTGGTACCAATTCAATGGGAGGAACTTGTTTAGCCAGAAGCAAATTTTATTCTTCTTCAGGTTCATAAAGAAGTTCCCCCTTGCATACTAGCTAGGTTGGAGGGCTAGTCACAACTGGTTTTGGAAGAATAACCTTTGATTTTCATAATGTGTTTGATATAGTAGGATCTTTTGTAACTTGATATGTTCCAATAGGCAGAAATGATACAGTGAAGGAGTAATTTCGAAGAAAAACAAGTAGACAGCCCTCCCCAAGTCTAGCTCTCTGAACTGCATATTGTTCTGCCCTCTTTTCAGCTACCCCATGAGAGGGAATGACTTGTGTCAAATGGTCTTGACAAGGGCCAACATGAGAATTAGTTGAGAGGACCATGAATACACATGACAATTGGAAGTGTACATATTTTTTGATGCCTATTTTCATGAGTTAGACTTTCTCTTAGCCAAATTAATTCCACAGAGCATGTTCTAGGAAAAACATGCAAGGAGAGAAGTAATAGCAAAAACATTCTCAAAATCCTGAGCCTAATGGCATGGGCAACTAAGAAGTAGAGCCAAAGGCTTGTCTCCCCACCATACAGAGGTCATAGGCTCTCATTCTGTGACAGACTCAGACACCTGTCTCCAAGAAGAAGTAGAAGAAGTATTGCATCAGTTAATCTCTTGAAGACAGTTTTTGTTTTGTTTTGTTGTTATTTATTTGTTGGTGTTTGTGGTTTAGGGGACCAAACCCAGGGCAGCCACTCTACCACAGGGCCACGTCTCCAGCCCAAGAGCTTTTCTGTATGATTAAAGGATGGAAAAAAGATGTATGTCACACACTGTTTATCCCTCCAGAACTCTAGTCTACTTCCTGGGCCTGTGATGGACTGAAACATGATTATTAATCAAACTAATTTTATCTGGGAATTAAAAAAGTAGACAAGGACAAGTAACATTGCTGCCTCTGCCAATTTAGCTCCTAACAAAGGCACAGTTGGGGCATTTATGTAGATAAACTCAGCCAACCACTGTGCTTCTGTGCCGTGACTAGGCAGGACACGATTTTATTGCAATTTCCAAAAGTCAGTGCAGTCCAGAGTTTAATCAGTACTGGCTAATAGCCCTTGGCAGCTTTGGGTAGATGGCATTCTCCACCTGCCCAGCTGGGTACCATGCCCTAGGCACCCACATGTGATGTACCGTCATGATTTCTTGGTTGCTCATAGTCATCTCCTCCATCTGTGTGAGTGGCAGAGTGCCCATTCCACAATAGTCTAATCCAAAAGTTGTTTGTAACCTTTTTGGTGTTACATATCTTTTTGAGCATGTGATGAAAGTTGTGGATCTTCCCCCTAGCAAAGTGCACACGTGCACACACACACACTAGTGAATGTGTATGAACATGGATACATATCTATATATAAAGTTTCTCACACTTTCAAGAGGATGTCAATGAAGTCATGAACTTCAGGATAAGAACTTACCCTAGAGTGTAGAAAGTAGGAGGTAAAATAAACATTTTTTTCAAATAACAAGGAAAACTCTAACCATGTGTTCTTAGGAGACAAAGGAAAAGCAACACTAAACAGTTATGAGCAAAGCGCGAAAGAAGCTGGTAGTTTCAGTGAGGTGGAAAAAGAGTGGTTGGTTTCATGGAGAAAGACCCTTGAATCAGGCCAGT